AGGTCGGCGAGATGTCTCATCGACATCGTGTCTTCGACAATGAGCAAAACGCTCAAGAAGTGACGGTCAACCTTGACCTAATTGACGAGCTCAGAGAGGAAGCTCGGATCCATGAGGAAGCCTGCAAAATTTGGGCTTCCAGAAGATATAACACGCGGATCCGACCTCGCTCTTTCCGGGTCGGCGACCTAGTATGGTGACTACTAGGAGAAGCACGAAGAGACTCGTCAGAAGGGAAGCTCGCGCCTAACTAGGATGGCCCATTTCGGGTCACAAAAGATTTAGAAAATGGGGCGTACCGACTAGAAGAGCTCAGCGGCAAAGTCATCCCACGAACTTGGAATGTCACGCATCTCAAGTTTTACTTTAGTTGAAAATGTGTAAATGGGTCGTGCACTCTTTTCCCGACTCAATCTTTTGTCCCAAAAAACAAAAAAAAATGGGTTTTGGCTGAGAGGGTTTTTAACGAGGCACACCCACAACATCAATAAAAGTGACTCATTCCACTCATATTCTCTTAATTTTACACCGTATTGGCAAAAATCATACCATGACAAGCCAAGGTCGAATTCGAACCTTGGCACGAATCACTTTACGCTAAGCCAAGGTCGAATTCTAACCTTGGTGCGAATCACTTTACGCTAAGCCAAGGTCGAATTCGAACCTCGGCGCGAATTACATTATGACAAGCCAAGGTCGAATTCAAACCTTGGTGCGAATCACTCTACGCTAAGCCAAGGTCGAATTCGAACCTTGGCACGAATCATTTTATCTTAAGCAAGGTCGAATTCGAACCTCGGCGCGAATTACATTATGACAAGCCAAGGTCGAATTCGAACCATGTTACAAACTACACTAGGCTAAGCCAAGGTTGAATTCGAACCTTGGTGCGAATCACTCTACGCTAAGCCAAGGTCGAATTCAAACCTTGGTGCGAATCACTTTATGCTAAGCCAAGGTCGAATTCGAACCTTGGTGCGAATCACTTTATGTTAAGCCAAGGTCGAATTCGAACCTTCGTGTGAATTACTTTATGCCAAGCCAAGGTCGAATTCGAACCTTGGTGCGAGAGACTTCCCCCAAAAACACAAAATACAGAACGAGTTTCGAGCGTGTTTTCGAACCTCAAAAACAGGCTACAACTAAGCCTAGAATTCAATCTCGATCGCAAAACCAAGGGTCAAAATAGAACCACCAAAAGCGCAAGATGAAAACTCAGAACAATATATACACAACAAGTTTGTCAATACAGAGCAAGAGTTCAGAAAGCAAGAAAAATGGAACTAAATAAACTAAAGCTATTACAAAAAGCAGCCTAGGCAGTCGTGTTCTCGCTCGAGCTGTCAGCAAGGTCGTCCTCTTTCACCAGCCGCCTAGCTCGCACCTCTTTCTCCACATGCATAGCAGAGAGATCGACCCCAGGTGCAAGCAACCTCGCCTGACGAGCTGCCTTGACAAAGCCTTTCTTATGCTCCAACAAAATAGCTCGCTCAGTCTCGACGAGCTTCCTCTCCAACCCCGCCTTAGCCTCAGCCATCTTTTTAAGGTTCGCCCTTAGAGTCGCGACCTCCTCTTCCTTGCCACCAAGAAGCACCTCGTCACAGAGATGCCTCTCGGCTGCTTCTGCCAATTTGGCCTTCAACGTCGAAACCTCGTCTTCAAGGGAGCGCACTTGACCCCGAGAGGAATTGGAGAGCTCTTGAAGCTCGCCGACCTGGGCAGCGTAGACCTCGTTAGCCCTCAAAGAAATCTCCAAATACTTCTGAGTCTATGCGAGATTCCTCCCCGTGGCTTGTAGCTCGGCCTGATTCTTCTTTACTGCCAAGGCCCGGTTCTCCTCCTCCAGCAGCTGAACTCGGCTTCTAGCACTCTCGAGCTCCCCTTGTAGTTTCGACCACTTGTGCTTCCAATGGTCCACAATGGTGATCGATCTCTACATGAAGACCTCCGCAGAATCTAGGCTCTCCACTAGCCCGACCTTCTCGATCATCGCCTTATCAGTCGAGCGAAGCGAGCCCCTCGGGTAGAAGGTCTCGGCGGTCACCTTCGAACTCCACATTGAGTCCACATCCGATGACGCGCTCACGTGGTCCAACCTCGTCAAGGGGCGACCAACGTCAAAGCGCTGAGCGATGAACTTCCCCTTGGGAGCCCCTGTCAGAGGAGGAGGCGGCAGCGTAGTGGCTGCAGGATTTGACGTTGGAGCCCTAGAGTTCGGCTCTTCTTCGTGGGCCTCGCCGGGAGTTGAGATAGGCGCCGTCTGCGCAGCGGCGGAGGCATTCAGCCCTAGCGCCTCCGAGCTCGGTTCCACTCGGGCCTCGACAGAAGTTGGCTCAGGCCCCGCCTACACACAACACAAAACAAAATTTCCCCTAAGTTACAAGACAAGAAAGTCACACAACAGGGAAAAGAAACAATAAGCAACAAGAAAGACACCAACCTGCACCTCACGAGCAACCTCCTCCGCGGTGGCTCTAGACGGTCCCCCAGGCAGAGGGCTCCCTGTTAGGTCGACCGGATCGGCGTTAACAACCTTAGAGGTCACCTCTTCAGCATCACGAGGGGCGGAGGTCCCCCCGACCTCCTTCCCTCCCCTCTTCCTTTTCCTGCGAGTTTCAAGAGGAGCAACCTCCTCCTCGAGAGGCTCCGGGACCTTGATCTCAGCAACATTGTAGCGAGCTTTCAGCTCGCGCCACTTGCTTTTCCCCATGATACCTGCAAGCACAAAAATCCAACATATAAGAAAAAGAAAACGAAAGAAGCCTTGACAACTAAGGATGACGAGGTAATCACTCTCTAAACCCCTCTCCTTGTACGCCAAATTAGCAAGCGACAGAACGAGCTTGCAATCCAAAAAGCATGGTCAAATCAGCAATGACAGCAGTATCCGAGGTCGTCAACTGAAGATTGGCTGACCCGTTGAACTTGATCGGATCCTGCTGCCAATAAAGAGGGAACCTCGGGAACCCACCAAAGTGGAATACCTCATCTTTTAACGGGTCGACCTCCTTGGGTAAAACTCGGAAGAACTCCTATTTGAAGCCCTTATACGAATTGGAGTAAAGCGAGAATAATCCCCCGACCCTCCCATTCAACGACACCCACCCTAGGGGAGGGTCACCCAACTTCAACTGGTAAAAATGGAGAAACGCGGGCAGTGACAACCCTATCCCCAAGGTGGAGCATAGGACTTTAAAAGCCCTCAAAAAACCCCAACTATTGGGGAGCAGCTGGCAAGGAGCCGTGTTGATAAAATTCAAAAAATCACACTCGAACTAAGTAAAGGGTAGGCTTACACCCAAATCCCTAAAAAAACACTGGTACACATAGAAAAAGGGGGGATTAGAGGTACCCCCCATGTACACACGCTCGCCGGGCTAGCAAGGCTCGAGCCGGATGAGCTTGGAAATGGATCATTGGCAGATCCTATGCGATTTCCATATCGCATTGACCTCAAGAAACGATTTAAAGACACTCTGAAACTCTCCGACGTCCCCTCGGACCCACTGATAGCCCAGGACAGTGATGGCGGGGTGGGAATCTTTAGGGTTATTCCCACCCCTTTTCTTTTCAGCGACAGCCGTCTCGTCGGCCACTGCTCTGTCGCGCGCCTTTCCCTTGCCCTTGGCCGGCGCAGAAGGTGCAGCACCACTATTACCGGCCATCAAGAATAGAAAAGGCTAGAAAAAGGAGGAAGACGAAGAAAGAAGAAGAGGGAGACCGACGGGGAGAAAGAACAAGGAGGAAGGTAGAGCAGGGGAAGTACCTGGTACTCCTCAGATAATGACCTTAATGGCAACTCGATTGTTGAAAACAGCGACGGCAGGGCACAACGGAGCCACTAAGAGAAAACGGAGACGAAGGTAAGTGATGGAGAGAAGAGCGTATGAGAAAAGCCAAAGAAAGGAAAATGAAACGTGTGTATAGAGGAGAGGGAAAAGGGTTTTCAAACGAAAACGTGAACGGACGTGGCACGGGCAGAGAAACAACAAAAATAATGGGCATTAAATGAAGCCCATTATGATGGGTACAACCATCATTACAAAACCGTCAGTGCCCATTAACACGCCGCCCACACGTTTCGGAGAACGAGGTGACGGTTATGACACATGACATCAAGACAGAGGAGCGTACGCGAAAAGTCACGACCCTTCACCGAGTTCGATATTAACTCTTCGACCCACGGTCTTCAGAACTCGGGGGGCTAGTATACTATCCGTACCGTGAAGCCGAGCTCGAGCTCGATATCATAGATTGACATCAGACACACGTTATACAACATCGGTCAAGACAAAGGCCCATTATCTTATCAGACCGTAATTGATCTCAGGCCCAAAGCCTAGAGAAACCCTAATTCACACTAAGATACGTGCATTACTTATACGAGACCCATACATCCACAAACACTAACTTTAGCATCGAAGTCTCTTTTACAGGTATCAATCCCACCTTGGAATAGCAAGCGTACCCAGTAAAGGAAGCTCACTAATCTTGCGCAGTAAATCGTCCTTACGACCGATCTCCGGTAAGAGCAATTATAAAATTACTAAATTAAATATAAATAATAAAAAAAGACAAACATAAAAAAAAAACAAATAATAACAATCGTGGAAGTCAAGTCTAGATAATCCGACATCTATGTTTGTAAAAAATAAAATAAAATAAAATAACGATATAGAGAACTCGTGTCAAGGGAATTGAGGATTTTGGAAGAAAAAAAATAGTTTCGAAAGAAATAAAGCTGAAGTGTGACATAAAGAAATATTTAAATAAAAAATCATAATATAATATATAATAAATTTTCTCCTTCTCTATACAATTAATTTTCTTAAATGACTCAATCCTTTGGATTTACTTCCTTTTATCGTAATCTCTAGGTTGATGGTTAAGAAAAGAAAATCTCTAGATTGATTATTAAAAAAAGAGCATCTCTAAATTAAATTTCCTTTTTATATTCAATTTGAATAGACCCTCTAACATGTTGTGCTAAACTTCTTAATATGGAATATAATGAATTAGGATAGGATTCCGTGTGAAGGCAAAGGTATCTCACCTTGCTTTCTCTCATGACCAAAACACATGCTTTGCCATGCTTATATAACAGACCTAACACCCCCAATGTGTGTGCACTATGCTAATTCTCATCATATCACAATTCTTGTTCATATAAAAAAGGTTCTTTTCCCCATCTTTGTCTCCATTCTTTCTCATCCATACTTTCTCCTCACTACTCTAGATCTCTCTCTTTTCCCATCAAACATCCATGGCTACCCTCTCTTCTACTACAAATCAGACCAACAACCATGAGGGTAACAAAATAATTTGACCCCTTTGTGTTTTTAGTTTATTTTGTGCCCCTTTTCTCTATGGATACTAATTTGGTCACTGTTTATCTTCTATCTTTGTACCCACTTTCGATTGATTCGTGAATTTAACGCACAGTTGATGGGAAACCAATTCCTCATCACGATCAAAACGTTCTGCAAAAGCACGCAGGGTTCTTCGACAGGAACCACGATGGTGTCATTTACCCATGGGAGACATTCCAAGGTTTATTTAATAATTTCCTCCATGCCTGTGTTTTTTTCTTGCTCGGGTTAACATGCTTTCATCTTGTTTAAGGATTTATTAAGATAATTAAAATATTTTTGCTAGAGATCTAACAATGAGTAGTAATATAACAAAAATAGAATATCTAAAGTAAGGATAATCCTAATTGTATAAGATAATTTCTATAAAATTGAGTTAGATCCAACTTCATTTTCCTAAAATAATAGCAATTATTATTCATAGATGTCCCGCTTATATATTTATTGATATCTTAAATATTTTAATTAAAGAATCATTATTATGTTATTTACAAATATTCATTATTAACAAAAAAGGCATATGCTAATGATATTACATCAACTAATAACATCCAAAATAGAACGTTTCTAAAAAAAAATAATGTATATAACTAAAAAATTCTTAAAATATTTTCATTTTTTTGGTAGAAGATATTTTTTTTCTTATAAATTAAAATTTGTTTAGAAAAATGAATATAAAAGAACTTCTAAGAATTTGCTTATGTGAATACATGAATAAATTAATCTTCATTTTTTTTTTCTGTCAAGGGTGTTTTGGATATATATGTCTTGAATCATTTAAACTTCAGTTAATAATAATAAAATAAAAAAATGAACAAGAATTGTGATGAATCGATGAATTTTATGTTATTTGGTATGTGATGGTGTATTTAATTGCAGGATTTCGCGCAATAGGTTGTGGGGTCTTGTTATCGACCGTTGCGGCAATTTTCATCAATGGCGGTCTCAGTCAGAAAACTCGCCCGGTATTTCTCTCTTACGCACGCATCCTTCATCTTCCTTTTTTCTCTTCATTCAATGTGTAAAGTGAACCATCACAAATTCACAATTAGAGGGGTTTATTAATTGAATTTAATTTACTTAATATGCCACTTTATTAACACAAATTATCCTATTTAAAAGGAAAACACAAAACAGATAACCAACCAAATGGAACAGGGGAAAAGGGCAACACATGCTTTCCACATAAATGGCACGTCTTTTAATAAAAGTAAAAAAAAAAAAGGTAAAAACAATTAACTTGTCTTTATCATGTAATAGTTCACAAAGACTTGTGATTTACACCAAATTTAATTATTAAGGATATTATTCATGATACCTTTTGTCAACAAATACATATTTACAATAAGACTTATGCCATTTCATTTAACCATAGAAAACAAATACATATTTTGTAATTTTCTTCAACGATTTTTATAAGCGAAAGCTTTCCAAAAATTATTTTCTTTTCAAATTTTTTTTCTGTAAATGAAAATTGTGGCACGGTTGTATAATTCTGTTTGTTTATTAAACTTAATTTCTCTTCATTCAAGAGTTCGATTTTAGTTTATAGCATTTTAGTTTTAATATAATTAAATGCAGATTTTTTTCGTATCTTATGATAAAAAGTTATCAAATTAAATACAGAATAATCCTATAATATGAAATTTGATAGAATTTTCTAATAACTTTTTCATATGAATCATTATAAAATTTCAATAGTTATACTAAACCCTGGATTTCATATAAAAGAATTGATTTTCTTCCTTAAATTTTATATTAGAAATTAAATATGAAATATTTAGAATCACATGAAGGGAATAATTAAAGTTTAGTGAAGGTGTGTGAAAACTTAAAAGAGCAATCTAGTAAAATAAAGAAAGGAAAAAGTGCAACATGTCCACGACATGCCATCTGTTAACTTATCTGGAAATGTTGTGCTCCAAGAACCTTGGGTTGTTGGCAACAATTTTTTTTTATTATTTTAATTTCACTTTTTGATTACTATACTATTTTTAAAATCAGATTTTGATTCCTTTCCTCTTTTTGCCCTTCAATTTTTATGATTCTACTATTATATTTTTTTTCATAATTTTAATTTATCAGTTAATTTAACGTTTAATAATTAACGTGGAAGGGAAGGAAAGTACAGCATCAACATTGATGTGACAGTGCATGCATATAAAACTCTTGTTTATATTTTATTTATGTCTATATTTTAAGAGGAGGAAAGATGAATTTAACATGCTGTCAATAGTTTTATTTATGTCGATTAATAAAAAATATTATTAATAAAAATTTTACATTAATTATTATAAAAATTAATATACATAGCAGCCTATAAATGTTTTAAATTGTCCAAATGCATGAATTATTAATTTATAAAAGATTCTGCAGATACTTGGAGTTAGCTTTGCTTTTCAGCAGAATAAAGCTTGTCACTGATGCCATCTTTTTTCCTTTATAGTAAATAATAGTTTTTGTTTTGTCCTAGTTTTTGTTTACTATAACTTTTGCTTCACATTATATAGAGGATTCATTTGGAGGATTCATATGCTAGTGCAAGGATTTCAAAATAAAAATTATCCTTAATATTATAATAATATTAACAAAATTTGAATATGAGACTTTATGTATACTAGTCCTTTTTAAAATAATATAAATTTAACTTAGTATTATAAGTTAAATATGAAAATAACATATTTAAAAATTTTATTATTTGATATGAAATTTGAAAGTTATCAATATTTTTTAAGACAAAAATCAGATTGTTGCGTATTAATTTATTGATGAAACCCAATTTCTTTTTTTTCTTATCATGATAATCTTTTAATTCACTTGATTAAAAATTAATCTCGATCATGATATTATAGTCACTAATTTAATAAAATTTTGCACGTCTAACCTAAATCAAACACAAATATTTTACTTATATAAATCGTGCTCATAATATGAGTTACTAACTACTGCTTCAACCCATTTTAGATGTAGAAGCATGTGAATCCCATATACTAATTATTAAAGAGTGTTAGTTTTTGTTGGATCACAAAATTTAATCAATATAAAGCTATTTTTAAATTAAATACTATACTTCTTTTCGAAGACAAAAAAAAAAAAAAAAAAAAAAAAAAAAAAAAAAGATGTGGGATGCAAGTGAACCCCAAAACGACAAGAGAAAACAGTCACTGTCAGGAGTGGTTTCATGAATAAATTCAAAAAAAAAAAAAATTGACAGGTCAAAATATTTTTTTTTATAAAACACTAATTATCTGACAAAAGTAAAAGAGCAGTTAGAAAAGTTATAAAAATAATTGAATGCTGAATTATTGACATCAACGTTATGAAATTTTAAGTTGAAATGACGAATTAGAAATTCCTTTCTTCGCCGGGAATGAAGAGTTATTATTACTCTTTTCCATAATCTTACGTAGTTTTTTTCCCCCTTCTTTTATTAAAAATAGTAATTAAATGTTTAGAATCTTATAGGTGGTCGGTGCTTTTAGGAAAGAGATATATAAAATAGAAAAAGATGAAGAAACTAGTACATAATGCTAATATTTTACGATACTCATGCATGTTTTATTGTATAATTGAATTTTATAATAAATTGTATATAAATAAATATTATATTTGAATATATAAATTATATTGAAAATTAATATACCCAAATATTTTTAAAATAAAAATTATATTTTAGATTTATGACAAATATTTTATATTATAAAAAATTACTTTTATTTATTAATATTTTATTTAAAATATTAATATTTAATTTATAAATAATTATGATAAATAAAAATCGAATTAGATATGAAGTTAAAAAAAAAATTACAAATTCTTTCATTAAAGGAAATTTTTTAAAAATACTTTCAAATGGGATAAAGACTTGTTATTAATATATAAGAGTTAATTTTTGTAAAATAATTATTTATTAATATATTTTGGCCTGTAAAATAATTAGGACAATGCTTCTTATGAAAAGGAGAGTGTAATTGATACGACTAGAAATGAAGAAAACTTCTAAAGAAAAAAAAAATGAAATAGAGAAAAGATAGAAGAAAACTAATATATGTTTATATTTATTGCTTAAGAAAAGGAAATAAAATGAAAGAACATATATTTTATCTTGTAAATTTTGTGATTACAATTCTAAAATATGGCTGAATGCTTTTTAAGCCTGAAATAAATATTTAATGACCTTTCTTTCAGGAGGATATTTATTTCATTTTTTTATTAAAAAAAAAAAAGAAGAGAGGATAAATATTTATTGTGTATTGACATTATATTAACTCGGCTCTGGATTTCTATATGGTGTAGGGCAAGTTTCCTTCTATATTGCTACCAATTGAAGTTAAAAACATCCAGAGAGGCAAACATGGAAGTGACTCTGGTGTCTATGATAGTGAAGGAAGGTAGATATTTTATGTGCCTGCTGTCATATCTGTTCTAATTTTTCCAGATATAAAACAACCACTAAAAGCTAATACTAATCCATCATTAGTTTGGATAAGACTGATAATTTTTCATTATAAAAGCCATACATTATCCTCATTTATAAAGGATTTATTTTGAAAGTGATAAAAAAAAAAGGTATCCTTTACTTGTGTTTGTCCTTTTCTGATTTTAGTTTTTATTTACAAAATTTTCACCTTATTTTTAATTGTTCTCATTCTCAAATATTTGTATTTTTGAAACAAAAGAGAAAATAAAATGAAAAGTAATTTCTAGTGTTTTCTGTACAAATCTTTTGAGAATAGGAAGAAAAAAAAATCAAAATAATGGCAATTTTATGACTAAAAAGTTAAAACGGAAAATAAAAACAGAAGTAAACGGGACCTTAGTTGAAAATATAGTTTAAATATTTATTTGATCTTTATGGCATGGTTTCATAATTTTATATTTGAGTTTTAATAGTTAAAATTATATTTTTTTTCGGCTTCTTATACATACTTTTAGGTTTTTCCTTCCTTTTAACTTACAAATGATAAGGACTAAAACAAAATAAAAATGATATAAAATCTATTTGGATAAACTTATAAAATATACTTTTTAGGAAAAAAGAAATAAAACAAGAAGCTTCTTCATAAGATATATAAAAGAATTTCTACCAATTACCTTATGAAAAAATTCATTTCATTTATCCTTCTTATTTTTTTCTTTCTAAATCTGCTTCTGAAATAGCCTATTTAAATAAACTCGTATATAAAAATAAGAAATAAAATTATCTAAATTATAGAAACAAAACGATAAAATTTGTGAAACTATAAAAATCAAGTGGGTATTTAAATTGGAAAATAATTTCTTGTAGGAAATTGAGATGCCTTAATTTTCAATTCACCTTTCAATTGCTAACCTGACTTCATAACTTGTAAAGCACTCAAATAATTTCAAACCATAATGTCCATATATATACAATCTGTTTACTTAATTAATTGGCTGTGACTTTTAGGTTTGTTGCATCAAAATTTGAAGAAATTTTCAGCAAGCATGCTCGAACACATCCAGAGGCTTTAACATCTGATGAATTGATGGGGATGCTTAAGGCCAATAGAGAGCCTAAGGATTACGGTGGATGGTATAACGATTTTGTCACTCATACTAATACTATATAATACACAAATTAAATACTGAGTGAGTTTTGTTAATGATGATAATATATTATATATGTTGTTACCATTTGATGCAGGTTTGCTAGCTACACTGAGTGGAAGATTCTAGATGTTCTTGCCAAAGACAAGGATGGTTTACTTCACAAAGAGACTATTAGAGCGGTTTATGATGGAAGCCTGTTTGAAAAAATGGAAAAGGAGCACTCAGAAAAGAAGAACAAATGAATATATATACAGATTGATATGAATTGTGTTGGGACATGAATCTTAATTTGTGAATGTCTTGTGTCGGGTGTATGAACTTAAGGTATACAAATTCTCAAGTGTTGATGAATGTGAATGATATTTTCTTTATTTGTTTAGAAAGTGTTAATTGTAATATTTTCACTGTGTTTTTATGGTCAAATGTCTCCTATAGTTTGGTTAATGTTAAAAGAAAAACTCTTACCATATATATATACACCTTCAATACCTTTTTTAGCACTTTTGATCTCAAAATCTAATGTTCAAAGAAATCTTTCTGTCCCTAAATGGTAGGGGTGATATTTAGAAATGGTTTATTAAATGCACCTTACGTGAACTTATATGATGTTATGGAAAAAATTAATAGTCAAGATGAAATATAAAAGAGATTTGAGAAATAAAATAGATGAGACAATGATTTATCTGGATTCAATCATTATCACTACAGAAGATTCACGAATCATACCCAAATGTCTGTTTTGAAATTTACGTATCGTTGTGCATTCAATTTCTTTTTTAATTAAAGCATGTTGGATACCGCCAAAGAGGTGAGATATATGTATCCACCACGCATCTAAACGTTCTCGTATTAGATACGTATCTCAAAATACGAGCCAAAGTTTAACGTATCCGCGGTAACTATCATGAACAATCTATAACGATATTAAGCGGAATATATCCATTTTTTAAGGATAAATATATTTTTTGTTTTATTTTATTTTTTTTCACTAATTTATATTTAAGAATAAAATTTCCTCTTTAAAAATTATAATTACTCACTTTTTTGTTTTACAAAAAATACTCATTTGTTTTACTTTTACAAAGACACGAATTACCGTTTTTTCTATTAATGGAGAAGTGTTGACGGTGTCTTGAAGAGTGCATTGCAAATAGAGATGATAACGAAACAAAACAAGTATGGATTTTACTTTCCTCGTTCCTGTTTCTGTTGCTTATACTCATTTTCTTCTCTATACTCGACATGTATGAGATTTGTGTCTGCAATCATGACGAGTATGAGATTTATGTCTTCATCTCCATCTTATCAAGTATCGGGTATATGTGTATCTGTCTTGTACCCATTTAAAAATTAATTAAATATTTTTTAAAAGGAAATTTGAAAAAAATAAGAACTTCAACATAGAGTAACAATTACAAATACATTAATTAAGTTTCACTTTACATTAAATTTAAAATAGAGTAAGAATTACATAAATGTCAAGTAAATTTTAAAAAAAATAAATAAATTTTTTAGAAATTTAAAGTGGGTACAGGTACGAGTACCAAGCATGTATATGTATATTCATCCTCGTTCCCGTCGATTTAATAAATTGGGTATTATTCGTATTCGGTCAAATTGGATATTCCCTGTCAAAGTTGGTATGAGTTCAAATAATAAATAAATTTTTTAGAAATTTAAAGTGGGTACAGGTACGAGTACCAAGCATGTATATGTATATTCATCCTCGTTCCCGTCGATTTAATAAATTGGGTATTATTCGTATTCGGTCAAATTGGATATTCCCTGTCAAAGTTGGTATGAGTTCAAATATTACCCATATACGGGTACGAGTTTAGTTGTCATCCCTAAATATTTTAGTGTCACTGCAGACGAAAAGATGATGTTCTTGGCCTCATAATTAATTAAGTGTTATTTTTTATAATTTTTTAATCAAAAAATCATTAATAATATGTTCTTTTAAAAATAATTCAATCAATTCTTATATATTAAAAATTTTAAAAGACTATTATGTGCGAATACGTTTTTAGGAGCTATTCTTTATAAATAGAAATGATTTTAGAGGTTCTTTAACTTATCTAATTCAAAGTTTTATTTATCATATTTACTAATATTTTAGTTTGTACAATGTGTAACACCATATTTTTTAAATATGTATGTAATTAAGATTGATGTTTTGTGTTGTTTTAAGTTGTTTGAGTAGTTTTATGTTGTTTTGCCTATGTGGGGCGAGACTTAGATGAGAATGACTTAAGTGTTTAAGAGTGAGTCTGATGAGAGTTGATGTATATGAGGTGTATTTTGAGAAGTTAACTTCATAAGTTCACAACTTAGGAGGGGTGTATTGGATTAAGATTTTAAAGGACTTTTTTAGTTAAAAAAAAAACTTGCAGATTTTAAAAGACTTTGTAGGATTTTTCATGACTTTTAAGACTTTGAAGGATTCTGTAAGATTTTAAATCAGGATTTTAATGAATTCTGCAAGACTTTTAAATTAGGATTTTAATGGATTTTACGAGACTTTGTAGAATTTGTAAAATTTTCGTGGATTTTTGACAAATGATAAAATTTCAAAAAAAACTTCATAAATTCAAATTTAAAAAGAGTCAAAGACAAAAATAAAAAAAAACAACAATGTCTAAATAATAATAATAATTATTATTATTATTATTATTCTCTATAATATCATATCCTCTAAAATAACATTCACCCACATATCCATAGCTATATTAATCCTCTAAGCATTAGCGTCTTCTCGCTCTTGCTCATGAGTTTGAATAATAAGCTCAAAAGTATGATTTTCATTAACAGGTAATGTTGAAGATGAAGGATCAAATACCTTGACCATTATAAAAAACATGTAAAAATGGAAATATAGAAACATAAGACAATTTTTTATATAAAAAAACAGTATATTCGATACTGAGAAAATATTTAGATATATAAA